TAAGAGATGAGAACCAATTAGACAAGGATACCAAACTCATTGGTATCTCCTTTAGCTGTCATGGCCTACTTTCCTCTGAATGTGAGAATTCCCAAAGCTATAGCCTATGATATTTGCAATCAATCTCTGACTTGTGATCCTATAATCTCAATTCAGAATCAGGAATTTCCTGTCTGCCTTCTGGAGATAATACTGTCACTTAAGTTCTGGTATTCATGATTCTGTGCTCTCCTCCTCTCTAATTCTACCATCTGCCTGCAACCCCTGCCCCAAACAAGACCATAGGCATGGGGGCCTATGCAAGTGGTAGAACTTTCCACTTAGGTCTTAAGAACAATTACCGTCCCCTTAAATATTACTAATACACACACACACACACACACACACACACACACACACAGGGTTTTTGATCTAATTTATTATTAGTTTTTTTTTCCAACTATACCCTAAGACAAAAATGCTAAAAGATCAACAGAAATGATTTAAGGATAATTGCCTTAAATTAATCATTTATTGAAAAGACAATGTGGTAACTTCAAAATACTTCAAATAAGAAGTTAAAAAAACTCTGAAAATCTTGCATTGTGGTATTAAGAACAATCAATATGGATTTGAGGATTTAAATTTTTCTTCATAGGCTTAACACAAAACTATTTTTCTCTGTTATTCTCAATATTGTTTTAAATTATTTGCATCAAGAAACTTTTATCCCCCAGAATTGAGTAAATGGATTATTGGGTGTCTAAGCAGTGTACACTGATGAAGAAATGTATGTGCATATGAGTACATATATATTGATATTATATTCTGGTAAACTCATTGTAATTGCAATCTGTATTAAAATCATCTTTAAGGAAATTAATATTCTAATTAATTTCTTATCTTCAAATGAATTACATTCTGCACTTATAACTTTGATCAATTTAAAATTCAATACTTTCAGCAAATGTTCTTTTTTAAATCCTCACCAGAGGATATGTTTTATTGACTTGAGAGAGAGAGGATGCGGTGGGGGGGGGGGGAGGAGGGGAGGGGGAGAGAGAGAGAGAGAGAGATCAGTTGTTTCCCATAGGCGCCCTGACCGGGGATCGAATCCGAGACCTAGGTATGTGCCCTAACCGAGAATCAAACCCACTATCTTTTGGTGAGTGGGATAATGTTCCAACTAACTGAGCCACCTGGCCAGGGCTCAACAGATGGTTTGGATCATCTTCTATGAGCTTGTTGCAGTTCAAGGCATTTTCACTGATGTTATGTCATTGAGTGACCTCGGCAGCCCTTTGAAGAGTGTGTTAACGCCCCTATTTTACAGATAAGGAAGTGGAAGCTTTCTTAGAGAGTTTGAGATGCTGTAAAAGACTGGGTGGCTTATTAACAACATACATTTATTTCTCATAGTTCTGAAGGCTGGAAGTCCAAGATCAAGGCACCATGATTCAGTGACTGGTCAGAACCCACTTCTTGGTTCATAGATGGCTGTCTTCTCAATGTTTTTACATTGCGGAAGGGGCAAGAGAGCTCTCTGGGGTCTCTTTTTTAAGGGCACTAATCCCATTCATGAGGACCCCACCCTCTAAAGGCCCAAAGTCCAAATACCATCACATTTGGCATTGAGATTTAATATATAAATTTGAAGATGAGAAACATTCAGTCTATAGCAGAAGCTTAGAGGAATAATAAAATGGACCTAAGACACACATTTTTACTACCTATACTACCTATAGACCTGATTCTTGGAACTTGAACTCAAGTCCAGTCCTTCTGCCAAAGCTCTACATGTCTAAGGGTAGAAGAGCCCTGAAAGTGGACAAATCTTGTATATTTAAAGAATTAACTCACTTAAAATAGATTCCATTTCCCTTTGAGAGAGTTACATAAACCACTAGGGAAAAATAACTTGAGCCAAACTGGAACAACCAACCTATTTGTTGTGGAAACAAATATCCCAATGTTTTAATACACTGACTGGCAATAGAAGGCAGTGTGCCTGAAATAACTTTCCTTTTCCAGTGAATAATATTAAAGTTACCATGAGAAAAGTGTTTGCCACATTTTTGTACACTGCAAGCTATTGTGATAGAAGAAATCATTTATTTTGCATCTGGATGATTTATTCTTCTCATGATTCAAACAGTGTCATTGCATGATTTTTAACATGTGAAGAGAGTTGTAAGCATATTAAATGAAAGATTTGTGGCACAACTCTTTATTTATTTCAATCTGAAAACAAAGAAGGGAACACAGCAGGCCCTCCTTATAAATTGAGAGGGCCGTAATGGATGGATTTGAGGGGCAGTGTAGTTATAAGGGGTTAAGAGTACATGTTTTAAAGCTGGAAAGTCTGGGTTAAATCCCATCTCTATTATTTACTCTAATGACCCAGAGAAAGTTGTGTGTGTTTTTTAAATGTTCTGTGCTTCAATTTCGTTATGTTTGAAACTTGAGAACTAATTAGCTTTAGTATTTCTCACAATATTTAAAATGAAATGACATCTTTAAGGCAATCTGCTGAAATGTAGATTGTATTTTTCAAAGGCTTAATGTGATTATAGCCAGGGGCTGATGGTAGTCAGAGAAAAGGTATTCCAATTTCCTAGACACTTGAGGTTTGTGCTTAGTTTTAGCTATAGTCTCTGTCACTGAACATATTTGGAAACATGAATTTCAAATTTGCTTCCTCTTTAAACAGTAGTATAACAATTGGCATTGACAACAAATTAGTGGATTCCAGAAGAAAAGATCATTGTATCCCCAGGCCCAAGTCTACAATACATATTTAAGTTATTGAATCAATCAAGCAATTTGATACATTTATAAATGTCCACATGGCTTATCAAAGTATGTTGTTCTATTATATTGAAAGAAGGAAAAACAGTGGAAGTGTCATTTGATTCTTTCTTTCTTGGAAAAAAAGTGAGATGTTTGAAAATGAAGTTGGGAGCTGAAGGGACAAGTCTCTTGTGCCGGCCTTGTGTCTGGAAGGGTGTTGCTGATTGATTCTATTATTTTAAACAGTGTGCCCTCCTAACAGGGGTTTCTAAACTCTGACAACTCAGAGGCCAGCACTGGCAAATGAGCTGATTTTCATAGCAGACAGAGGGATATTTTTACAGCAATGGCTATCTATTTGCAGGTACTTAAGCTTACCATATTGATCCAGCCTCTTCCCTTTCAGATAACAGCTCCCAGGCTCTCTGTGGGGAAATGCTGCTGCAACACTGGGGTTAGTCTTAGTGGGACTATCATTCAAAGTGCTGCTTCCTTTGCTGGCCCAGATGGCAGGCCCATGCTTGCTGTGTTTCAGAACGTCCAAAGGAGCGATTCCAAGTGTGAGTTCAGTGAGCCCTGTGGCTGCATGCCACTTCCTGCTACCTCAGTTCCTGGGCTGTCCCATTGGTCTTTCCCAGCACCTGCCTCTTTGAGTCTTCCTTCCATCCCGAGGGCTATCCTGTATCCTTCCAATGTTCTCTCTTTTATTTTTTAAATTCTACATAACTGGAGTAAGTTTTTGCTGATGATATTTAAAAATCCTCTTTCAGCCCTGACCAGTTTGGCTCAGTGGCTAGAGCGTCAGCCTGTGGACTAAAGAGTCCCAGGTTTGATTACGGACAAGGGCATGTACCTGGGTTGCGGGCACATCCCCAGTAGGGGGTTTGCAGGAGGCAGCTGATGGATGTTTCTCTCTCTTGGATGTTTCTAACTCTCTATCCCTCTTCTTTCTGTAAAAAAATCAATAAAATATATTTTAAAAAAATAAAAAAATCCTGTTTCACCTGGTTGTCATGGATATTATTGCTTCTTAAAAATTAGTATTTTTACATAAAACATAAGTACAAGTGATATGAAGATATAAAATGACTAAAGGATGGGGAAAATCATTACAAATATTGACATTAGCAATGAGCTTCCTGGTTACATTTAGAAATTAAAATAGGTATTTTGAAAAGCCACTTAGAAGAGTATCCAGGATTATATTACTAGGATGATCCTATTGATAAGAGAAAAATAAGAACTTGGAACAAATAATGTATTAATTAATAAATTATTAATAGTTTTCAAGGTCTAGAACAGATATAATGTGAAAAGGGATCTGTATTATTTCCTTGTTCAAGATCAGGCCTTTAAATAGAAAAACAACAACACTTCAAGTGCTAATATCAGATAATCTATTTTTCTTTTTATAAGTGAGGTATTTTACTTATTTTAACATTATTTTCCTAATTAGTAAAAACCTAACATATAAATCTCCATCAATCATATCAAGAATCTGTGCTGCAGGCCCTCACTAGATAGCTCAGTTGTTGGTTTTAGCATAGCCCTAATACGCCAAGTTGTGGGGTTGATCCCCAGTCAGGGCACATACAAGAATCCCCAATGAATGCATAAATAAGTGAAATAGCAAATTAATGTTTCTCTCCCCCCTCCTCCTTTCTCTCTTTCTCAAAAATCAATTTTAAAAAAAGAATCAGTGCTGCAGGTGTGTGTGTGTGTGTGTGTGTGTGTGTGTGTGTGTGTGTGTAATCCAGAACCTAAACATCTGAGCCTGGATATCTCTTGTTTGTACATGTACTGTTATTTCAGTCTTATTTCTTCTGGACATTGTTATAAACCTCATGTGGTCCTTAGTGTCCCAACTCCAAGGAACAAGTTATGGCTCCTTTACATGTCCCTCTTACCTTGAGGATCTCTGAGTTCTGGTTTGGGATGGAAATACCTGGAGATTGAAGACTTCTATCCCACCAATTTTACCTTTTTTATCTGATGCTTTTTTTTTTATTCCAAGACTATAATTTTGAAATTTGGGGATGAAGGTTAGGCTAAGTAAAGATTTTGACACCTGAAAATGTTTTCAGTTGGTTATGTTTCCCCAGAATTCACTCTCAGGGAAATACTGATAAGAAATGCAGGTTGTCTATAATCTCCCAAATAATGTACTCTTAGGAAAGAAAGAGCCAGGTAGTGAAGATTTCCCTTTGAAATGACATTACACCAGGCATTCAACTGTTTCCAATATGACCTTTATTGAGCAAGTACTGCTGTGACGTTTAGCATCAATCAACGAAAGGTTGCAAACTGTGCATGTCAACAAGGTTCTCCCATGAAAGAAAGTCCATTTTAAATGCACCAGTGAGGTAAACTTAATTATTCATATATAGCTTTCTTAAGGCTAAGAGAGTTCTGTGTTTCATTTATTTTTGGCTCAGTTTGTTCTTTGCATAATACATCTCAAGACACCCCCCCTGTGAGTGCCCCCCTTCCAGCAGTTTAGTAAATTGGCCAATTCCCCAGGTACATACAATATCATGCATTTGAACCCCCCAAAGACTGAGGAGGGAGCATCCTGAGCTTGCATGCAGTTCCCTCGTATTGCACAATGTAAAATACAATGTCTGGAACCCCCATGGGAGAACCCGTTCTATTTTGAAGCTGTCATTAACATGCATTTTGAAATTGTCATATGGCTTAACCTTTTGAATAGACTAAAATGACTAGTCACCCTGGGAGACTTCCTTTACTATGGCGTGTGAAGTGACCTTCTCTACCTTTTTAGTAGACACTAATTTCTCCTCAAAGCTCTCCTCATGCTCTTCGACCTTTTGAGTGACAGTGACAGATTTAGTGATATATTTGGTAGCACCATCTCCCCCTTCACTGGTGATTTTTTCTATCGTTTTGGTCACCATCACTTTTTCCTCACTTTTATCACCCCCCTTCTTTTCATCTGCTGGACTTAAGTCTAGGCCATTGGTGACAACACCTTTCTCCTCATCTCCCCCACTGCCTTTCTCCTTCGTTTCCTGCTCTTCCTCCTCCTTTCCTTCCACCTCCCCATTGATGGCTATGTCTTCCTTGGTGGATTCCTTTGAGCCTTGATCACTTCCTTCCTCCTTGCTCCCTCCCTCCACTTTCTCCTTCTGCTGCCCAGGCTTCTCCTCCTCTTTGGCACCTTTCTCCAAGCTCACCTTTACTGATTTGGTGATGGTCACCACCTCCTGCATGACTTCCTCCTTCACCGGGGATGCAGCTTTCTTCTTCTCTACCACATCTTTCAGCTTCTCCTCCTTTTTCTCTACCTTCTCCTCCTTTTTCTCTACCTTCTCCTCCTTTTTCTCTACCTTCTCCTCCTTTTTCTCTACCTTCTCCTCCTTAGGAGCTTCCTTTGCTGCTTCTTTCTTTCCTTCCTCCACTTTCCCTTCTTCCCCTTTCGGCTCATCTTTCCCAGCTCCAGCTGATGGTTTTGGCTTCACCTCTTCCACTGGCGATTTTGGCATGGGGGACTTGGCCTTCTCCTGCTTTTCCACCTTGGCTTCTGCCACCAGTTCCACCTTCGTGACTACTTCTTCCCTCTTTTCCTCAGTTTTCTTCTCTTCCTTAGTTTCAACTTCCTCTCCTTCACCTTCTGCCTCTGTCTCTCCTTCTTCCTGCTCATCTTCTTCTTTTTCACTAGAACCTTCCTTCTCAGACCCCCCTTCTTCAGCCTGGTCTGATTTAGCACCCTCATCTTCCTCCTCCTCCTCTTCTTCCTCCTTGTCTCCTTCTTCCTCTCCTTTAAATTCAGGTGCGGTAGCTTTCACTGGAGACTTTTTAGTTGCTACCACTTCGTCAGCTTCTTGTTCCTCTTCCTTTTCTTCCACCTCTTCTTCCTCCTTTCCTTTCATAGAAACTGCTAATTCCTCTGCAATGGCTGTCAGGGCCTCTTCCATTTCTGACTTCTCATCTTCCACTTTGGTTTCTTCTATGATCTCCTCGACAAATTTGTGTTGGACCTTTAGCTTGGGAGCCTCTACCTTAGTTTTCTGAATCTTACTGGATATTGTGATGGAGGGCTGTCGGTGTGTATACAGTGGTCCAGTGATGCTTCCTGAAAATGTGCTAAATCTGGTCTCTTCACCTTCCAGCAGTTTTCTAAGGTGATAAACAAAGAAGACAAGACATAATTAAAATCACATTGGGCCTTCTGAGCTTCATTGCATAATGGGGAATGCAGTAGATACCTCTGAGTAAGAATAATCACATAAATAAAGGATTCCATCAAGTCGGTGTAATACCTGCTATCATTTCATTGGTATATTTTGTCATATTCAGTGACAGAGACTCATGGGCCACTAGCCAATCCCCTGCTGCAGTAACTAGTCACTCCCAAAGGCCTACTAGTCAGACCCAGCCACCAAGTCCCCCGAGCTACATCAGTCCATTTGGTGCAACATGAATATGTTGAAAAGCTCTGGGGGCAAAAAAATCTTAGTGATCTTCCTGAGCATCGGAACTTTCAGGATGTATACTAAATATCTTTCAGCAAATATAATGTTAAAAATGTATTTGGCATATATCAGAATTCAGGCTATATCTATCTATATCTATAGCTCTATATCTATCTTCATCTATCTATAGTTAAGTACTAATTTGGGTGCATTAAGTTATAAATTGATCTGCAGTTTTAATCATGAAGTGTTTTTCAATGTAATTATTCTGCTTTTCTGAAAAGTAAGATACTTCTGTGGGTTCACTTTATTCTTATAAAATTATAATGGCCTTATTGGTAGTAGAAACACTGTTGATTCAATTATTTTCTCCTGTGAACTTAATCAACAGCAAGGCAGTATCAGTTAGTAGACCTATAATCTCTTCTCTCTCTTTCTCTGGCTGTATATCTACATCTATAGATGTAAATTTATTTATATTATGACATATCTATAAATTTATATCTTGAGATCTAAATATATGTAGATATATATCATACACAACCTATATATAGACATATAATCTATATTATGCAGCCTAAGATAAACTATAATACAGCTAAATTATCTATATAGCTATATATATATGCACACATATATTCTAATATGTCAATCTATATCTATTCTCAGCCAGATGATGGCAATAGTAAGCTGTAACAGAGAAACAGAGACATTGAATGTGTTGGTGTTTGTCCTTGACACTGTAAAATTGAGAAGCTGAAACCACTAGATAAATATTAAATACTAAAACTAGTAAATATTAAATACTAACATGTTTTTGCTTCAAACATTCGGAAAACACTTTTCACTAAAATAAAAAGTTTAAGCATAAGCATTGAAATTAATCTGAGCTCCTCCCAAGCCCTTCCTGTAATTCATATCAATTTCAACTAATGCTTACTCTTTTAAAGCTGTATAAAACGTGGAAAAATTCACATTTGCAATTCTTTAGAAATAATTTCTTTTTAATTAAAAAGGCAAAACAGGCACTGATTTAAGACGCCTGAAAACCTGCTTGCATTACTGAAAGTGGAGAAAGGTTCTGTCAAAAACAGCCTCTGCAAGTGCGGTATTTTGGGTCACGTCCGCAGGGACCCCCGTACCTGTATGCAGCGATCTCAATATCCAGAGCCATCTTGACGTTGAGGAGATCCTGGTATTCTCGCAAATGACGGGCCATTTCCCACTTGTGCCCCGAAAGCTCATTTTTCCAAACTGCTGGGATGGTGTCCCTGAAACAGACACAGTCTCCCCCATGACTCACCCTTCAAAAGGCAATTTCTTTTCGCAAACCCACTTTGCTACCCCCTCCCTTCCCCTCCCCTCCTGCGCTCCTCTGACTCCCCTCCAGCTCCGCAATCTTCTCGGATATTGCTCCCAGCCCCTCCCGCCATGAACAAAATTTAAGGATTCTCACGTACACAAACAAATAGGATCAATAAGACATTTCCAGAGCACATCATTCACTGAGCCCAGTGGATCTAGAATACATTCGGCAGGGAGTAAACGTGCATTGGGAAACCCCACCCTTGACCTGGCCCTTCCCATCTGAGCCATTT